AGACCGCTCGCTGCGAATTCCACGAAGAACGTGAATCTCTAATGGTAAAATCGTTGAAGGAAAAAAGAGAGGTAAATCGTTCTCACGTATTTCAGATTGCACGGGCCCCGGTGAGAACGAAAATAGAAGGTGAGGCCGATATTACTTTTCCGATAGAAACAGTATCGGAAGCACCGATGCGTCGCGCGTGTCGTCTTCCTTAACTGTTTGCCTACGACCGAATTTTCTGTCGACGCGCGTTTCTAAGGCGTATCGGAAAATGGAACACTGAATTGAACCGGATTAACACGATCCAAAATAATCACATTCATATAATATTTGACCGACGGGAGTTGTAACTGTTAGATTAGCTTCGCCGTAATTATTCTCGATAAGATTTTACGGAGAGGTTAAACTGCTCGCAAATAATGTTGAAAGGATTCAATATCGAATTGGAGAAGTTCCGAGAAATAGGTAGACTTCAGGAATTGTTTCGCTAACTGCCGAGTAAAAACTTTCGATTTTTTCTGGGTGTATGAAAAGTGTTACAGCTATACTCGGAAGTTTTAAAACCGAAGTTTTCACTTAATGTCAAGGGGTTAAAGGACTGCGATGACGACGACGACGACGAGCACGGCTGCGACGGATTTCGCTTCGGGTAATAATATAATTCGTCGATTCATAGGAGGTAAGCGGTCGTACTCGTGCCTACGAAACGCTCTATTATCACGGGCCACCGGCTTTGTAATGCAAAACCAATTTCCTCCTTTCGTCTTATTCGGAGGAGCGAAGACTCGGAGACGAGAAGACCTACCCAGCCCACCCTCATCTTCAGCCCCTTTCGCTTTAACGTTCCGCTGCCCGGCGGAACCGTCTCACAGCCGAACGGCCGCTTTCTGGCCGAAACTCGATAACTTCGAAAGTATGAGTGATAGACAAAAATGTTTCAGACGAAAGTTTCTCAGGTATAGAGTTAAATGTATGGTGGTTGTATTTCCGTTACATTACGGGGATATTATCAAGCTTTCCCAATGACAATGGACATTTGCGTGTCGATGCCAACGTTATAAAAGAATTTATTTTTCAAATGAAAATCATTTTGTATAAAGGACTAGCGATACATTGGTACTCTTCGGATTTCATTATGCGAATATTCGAATTTTGGGACTTTGTCCACAGACAACCACAATATGCGTCCCGTTTCCCTGTAATGGATAAGTTCCCCAGACTCTTATGAAAAATCAAAATATAATATCATCCGTATATTCCATCGAGAATCTGTGTAGGCGCCCATATACACGTGTACGCGAACAGCTACTATAGAATGCGACGCGTTCCAGGATCAACGTCGGCTGACCCCTCCGAGGCTAAGGCCGAGCTTTATTTTCCCTCCCGGGAACCCATCCGGAGGGTGACTGTATTTTTATTCAAATTTCATTCTATCCGTCCCGGAACTTTCGCGGACCCGTTCCAGCCGCGGTCGTATTACGAGTCTTCGTCTCGAATAAAATCGACTCGGCCCGGCGCCGAAACTTTCGGAATTTATTCTATTATATTTACGGAAAGCCGATCGTCGGCTCTATAAATTCGAATTTCCTTCGCGCGACTTTGCCCGGAGAAGCTCGGCTGTCCTCCGCTCGCGAAACCTTTCCCACGCGTTCCTAATAGATATCGTTCGTTTTATTATATCACTTAAGAACTTCGAGCAGCACTGCCACGCGTGGAGTCTCCGTTTAATAAAGGAGCGTTCGCTATTCGCGTCGAAAATTGTTCTTAACTCAACTATCGGTGGTTCCACCTTGTACGACGTTGGAATCGAAATGCAAACTATGCGTCGTCATTGAAGAAGCTTCATAATATCCCTATAATGTAACAAAAATTCTTCAAAAAACTTCTGTCTGAAACATTTCCGTATCACTCATGCTTCCAAGTTATCGAGTTTCATCCAGGAAACGGCTATTTAGTACTGTCGATCGAAAGAAGCGCGCGAGACTCGAACGCACGCCAATAAATCGACGTTTCATCTGTGCATGCGTGTGCAACGCGAATCAGAGACACACGAGGCGGTAATGCGTCGATACCGACGCGAGATCCTGCGAGAACGATCGCGATTGTGGAGGAAGGTTCGCAACGGTTCTATCTGTCACACGTAGGTGTCCATACACGCGTCAATGGAACCGAGGAATAGAGGCGACGCGATTACGCGATGCCCTCCGGTTTACGAATTTAGGAATCCGCGGATAGACAGCACCTGCGGCGGTCTCCGGTCGCGTACGCGATAACAGCCTCGAGTATCGGTGCCAATGTCAGTGCTGAGTTATCGTCTCGTTGTTTGCCGTGGAGTCGAGCCCACCTTTTGCCAAAGGCGGCCGAGGAGGACGGACGAGAGCGGAACGAACGCCAAGACCGTAAAGACGGGTCGTGCTTCCGAACGAGAACACGAAAGAACGGGAGAGCCGCAGTGTAATTTTATTCTCCGCGGAGTTGTCGCGTCGTTGTCGCGGCGTTCTTGCCGACGCGTCGGTTTACCTTTTCGATATTCGAAAATCGTCGAACACCGCCCGAGGACAGCCGGCTTTCAAAGACACGGTATAAACGATAACGGCCGATCGCGTTCAATATTTCATGCTTTACAGTCGCGTAACCGTACTGCGTTCTATCTCGTAAGACTCGGTTAGCCGAGAGTACAGGAATTATCCGTTAATGTTATCCGTTCGAGGGGCCGCAGGACGAGGAACCGTGGATAGAGGAAGAAAGCGAAGGGAGAAGACGATAAGAATAAAATGAATCGCGAGCATTCCCTGCGACACTAGTTGCAGCACGAGAAGAGTTGCTAATGATTCGCTAACGAGATACGTGCTCGGTGTGTTTCACGTGGAAACGAAAGAAACACCGGCTGACTCGGGAATAAGAGAGACGGTCTCCTCCTCTCGAGACTCTCTACGGTTGCCACCTCCGACGAGCTTGGTCCTCCTCTTTATCTCGTCCAGTCGGTGCCCTTTTCCTCTTATTGTCCGGATCGCTTCTTATTCCCGTCGTACTCGTCGACTCGAAGCGTGTAAACTGCAGTCTCTTTTCATTAGCCCGGCATGGATTCCCCGAACGGATTGCTCCTCGCCGAAGTCGGCGCTGGTCAGCGCTTCCGCGAGCGTTTGCCGTGTGCACGTACATGCGCGATAACTAAAAACACTTTTCCGTTAGCACGGGAACGCGAATGGGGCCTGTGTAAAAGGGAAGTTGCACGGCGACGCGGAACGACACGGCGACCGTTGCGTACACCAGTTTCCTCCGGTACATATCGACTTTTCTCTCGATCTAAACTACTTTTATTTCCAACCGCTTTACCTTCGAACTCTTATTTACGTGTCGCCGGGAAAGCGTTCCCGTGTCTCGACATCGGCGGGACCCTTCTTGCTGACTCCGCGCCTAGCCAGATATTTCGGCCGCGCCGTGCCGTGTCGATATCTCGTGCCGCTTCGTCCGTGTTTCCATTAAAACCGTCGCCGACCGGGGATCTTTGAAAATTCATCGGGCCGATCTTCTCCCACAAATGTTTGGGATTCGGTGAGTCGGATTCCCGCGGTCCTGCGTTTCGTTTCGTCGGAGCTCGTTCAAAGAATTATTCTAATGTCAACTTCGAATTCTCGAAATGGGGGATTCCTTGCTCGAAATCTGCTTACAGGGAAATTTATGTGAATTGCTTTCGGTATAAGGTAGACACCGGTAATTCACCTGGTTGACCATTTTTCAGGAAAACTTAAAGAATAAGGTTTCCCGAGGTAATAGATGTACTGAGGTATCTACCAACTCAATTCTGAAATACTTTTATCCGAATTGAATCATCGTAGAAAATGATAATTTACTTAATTGACGTTGGTTGTACCTACAATTTCCAGCAAGGAATTAACTTCCTCTTTTATATTTGTACTTTTACTTGTAATCCATCATAATCATTGATACTAAAGTAGCTTCAGTGTTTTTGGTTTCACTGTAAGTGGTCAAGTGCTAATTAACCTATGGCCCATTGCTCTCTCGTTCTAAAGAATGGCCAACTAAGTATCGAATCTCCAAAAATGTCCATCAAATATGTATCATCGAAAGAGTCTATTTAATAAAGAGGCAAGCGTTCACCATTATTCACGCAATTTTTCTTATGGTCAACTGTTGGTGCGTTTACCTTATGCGTGATCCGATAAGTTATTTCCCTGCAAGAAATCGATGTGCCTATGTAAATCCGTATAACGTGCGCATTTCCATGCAAGCATCTACGAGGTAGGAAGGAATTCAGGGGTGCCCATAAAAGCTCTGAAAGACAAACATCGTATCGATTGGTCCGTTAGCTGCCGGAGTTCCTAATAAATTGTAAATTATCGAAAACCGGTCCACGGATACGAAAGTGACACGTGTTCGCTGGCACCTCTCGTTTCCACGCGTCGCTCGCTCATTAACGAGCAATCATTATCGATTAATTAAATAAAGTCTTACCGTGACGCAACAAGGTCGTGGGATAAATGTCTATTCTCGTCTAACGCTGGAACTGCTCGGGAGCAAGAACGAACGAAAAATTGGACGAGTCCTAAAAAGGTCCGCGTGCCTCCGCAAAGTTTATTAGATTCATTTATTCCGGTGTGCTCTCTTTATACTTTGAGAGACGCGACAAAGAAGAACCGGCAACGACGGTAGTCTACCGGGAGTTTCCAGTAACGAAGTTTAAAAACGCGGCTCTAAGCCAGAGCCCCCTGTTCCTTCTTTCTCCTGTTCCGCTGTTCTTAAAAGATCTAAAATATGGTGAAACTTTCGAGCCATCAGCGCGCGTTGATGGCGACCGTGGCATTACGACTTTTGCACCTGCCTCGACTACTTTCGTCGCCGGTATCAGAGACGTGAAATATTTTCCAAATAATCCCTTTGAACGTTATACGGCGAACGGTTCCGATTTAGGAAATTACGCCTGCGAACCGTGGCTCTCACGCTCGTACGTACGACACTGGTAAACGAGCACGCGAGACGAGAAGCCGAGTAGGGGAAATTACTGCCTAAACTCACGCCACCAACGCCCAATGGATGACGTTAGAGTAAAAGCACAATAAATGCTGGTGATCGTGTTACGTTAGAGTTCATCGATAAAGTAGCCATGAACGCAATCGCGGGTGTCACATTTTTGTTGTTATTGTTTATGGTAATAGGTAAGCAACGATTTTTAAACTCGTCCATTCGATCGCTTTATCGAATGGGACGGGGAAATCATTTTCTGTGAGGACTCTCGTGAACGCTGTCTTGTAAACAGAGATCGTATTGAAATTTATTTCTCGTGATTCTTTCGATTGATCACTTGCAACGGATGTTGGACTATTGTTTAGAATGTGAATGAAAGTCACGGTGATTAATTTTCTCTGATCGTTGCTCAGATAAAAGTCTGTAGTGATCCTACAGTTTTAGGTTATGAAAATGAGTACTTAGGTGTAGAATTCTTCATTTGGTTCGCATAACTTTTAGGGACCGATGCGATCCGCTGTTATTTATGCAGCAGCGACACTGATCCCAAAGGCGAGGATTTATGCGGAGCATATAAAAAGTTTGACAAAGACAAGAATATCGCTGTGGAGTGCAACAGCGAGGAATCTCCGATGCCTGGTACATTTTGCGTAAAAGAGACGCGTCAAAGTCCACGTGGCTTCATCTGTAAGTTTACACTGTTGGAACGTTTACCGTGACACTTACTTCTTTTCTGTTCGTGCTGAACGTGCGTTGTAATTTTCTGTGTTCATTGAAAATTAACCACGCTGATTTCACTGTACTTATTATTATGTGGAATAATTTTCGAAGGGAACGGTAGATGGCGACAGGTGGTCCGCCGATGCTCCTCGGTGGCTAGTACAGGAGTCACGGGTGTTTGTAATTGGGGAGTTCATCCTAATGGTGTATATTGGGAAGAATGCTCTTGTTCGGAAGATTCTTGCAACGAAGCAACGACGTTGTCCTCGGTTTCAGCAGTAATTTTGTTGCTGCTCAGCGTTTCAATCTATGTATTTTCTTTGTAAGTGTTAGTATCATTGTACTACTTTGTAATAGCACATAAGACAATTTGTTCTATCGAGACAGATTAGGATTTTATACACCAAACTGTATTCAGAGCAGTCTTAACGAAGAGATTTATGTATCCGTCCATTTTATATTATTTCTATTTGTAAATAAACTATTTTTTTACAATATACAATCTCTCATTTTATTACATACGTGTTTACGTTCTTTCGTGATTCGTGATGTCGAGTATTGCAACTGATTTGAAAGGTTAATTTATCGTTATGTTAATTTACGTAAAATTATCGAAGGAAACTCTGTAAAGTACGTTATGAATTGGCGATGTAGTTCTCAGCTATATTTCTGAAAACGAAGTCGTAACATTTCTTACGATAAAACGGAAATAAAACCCGTCTGAGATACGCAAGCTGATTGAACTGTGAAAGAAGGATAATTTATAATCCACTAATTTAAATACGTAAGTACTTACACACGTTTATGCACGTGGGACTGGTATATTACGGTGACATTACAGTTTTTTAAGAGCCATTTTAAGTTTGATTTTAATTAACGCGGGAAATCTTGTATTAATATTGTTTATATCTTCCATGATTGCGAACGGACTGCGCAAACTCCCGATTTTTCTTCTTTCTTCCACTACGGCGACTGTTCTGTTCCAGTAAAGCCATCATGTTAAAAGTTTGAGAACGTGCCCCAGTGGCGTGTTAAATTAACGAAGCACGCTTTAGTGTTTATCGGGAAAGGCAGATTGATTGTTAGCTAAAGTTTAAATAAAAAGGGGTCGAACGATGAATGTCGCGGATGGAGTTGGATATTCGCGATCCGAAGTATTCGTGCTTATGGCAAGGATATCTTTTGTTGCTGCCGTTGGATTTTTTAGTATGAAGTGGATAATGAATCAACTTGATCCCACAAACAATGCAAAAAAGAAAGCCAGGAAAAAGGTGTTCATTCATTAGTTTCTACAAAATAAGATATCTTCTTATATAACCTCTTCGCCTCAGAAAATAACCTTACTTTATGGACTTGTTCCTTACAAATATGAGCATATCCCTGATTGTGTTGTAGGCACGTGAACAATTACGGAAATTGGCCAAAACGGACAATCTGTTGCGGTCAGTAGACATGGATCAATTAACAGATTATGAAATGATGATAGCCAATCACATAGTGGATCCTAAGGACATTAGAGTTTCATGGGACAACATAGCAGGCCTTGAGCATGTGATTCAAGAACTTAAAGAAACAGTTATATTACCTATACAACGAAAAGAATTATTTGAAGATTCTCAATTGACCCAAGCACCAAAAGTATATATTCAATGCTTCACATTATTAAACAACTATATTCTGATACAAATTTTGTTTCTAGGGAGTGTTATTACACGGTCCTCCTGGCTGTGGGAAAACAATGATAGCCAAAGCAACGGCTAAAGAAACAAAAACGCGTTTCATTAATTTAGATGTAAGCATATTAACCGACAAATGGTACGGCGAGAGCCAGAAATTAACTGCAGCAGTTTTTTCTCTTGCCGTGAAACTTCAGCCATGTATCATCTTTATTGATGAAATAGGTTTGTTCTAAAACAATTAAACCTACCAATTTGTTTCTTGATGAGTGCATTGTCAACAACCTATATTATTCCTTATGTGTTTATTTTCTTTTATGGCAGATTCTTTCTTAAGAGCACGTAATTCCCAAGACCATGAAGCAACTGCAATGATGAAGGCACAGTTCATGTCCCTGTGGGATGGATTAATTACAAACCCTTCTTGCACAGTAATAATAATGGGTGCAACCAACAGGCCCCAAGATTTGGATAGAGCAATTCTTAGGCGTATGCCAGCTACTTTCCATATTCCTTTGCCAGTAAATAAAATTTATGCAAATATGACTTAATTGATGAATGAACGTTCTCATGTGTAACGTACATATTCATACATGGATAGTATTAACTTTTGTTCATTTATTGTATTCATAATGATTGAATATATGTTTCAGAATGAGCAACAACGAATGCAAGTATTGAAATTGATATTGGAGCATGAACCAATAGCTGACAATGTGGATATTCAAAAATTGGGGAAAATGACAGAGGGGTTCTCTGGTTCTGATTTGCAAGAACTTTGTAGGAACGCGTCCGTTTATCGCGTTCGGGATTATCTACGTACTCATACACAGTTAATACTCCTTTCTTTACGATTCACAAATCATGGAATTTTCACTGCATTTATAATTTTAATTTGCTTCTTTGTTTTACTTCAGAGAAATGGATACTAGTACCGAAGATGAAGAATACCATGACGCTGTTCGACCTATTACTATGGAAGATCTCCTCACATCGTATAAGAAGATGAAAACATCTAAAATACATACGGGTACCCTGAGCGCAGTTAAACTAGATTTAGATTAAAAAGAGAAAAATATCGGTTACCTGTTCATATTGAATTTTTAAATCTTTTAGAGGGAGACTTAGGAAAATATAATTTTGTAATAAGCTTCACGTCCAGTCATGTTTATAATTTTATTTCCGTTATATCAAAATGAAAACTAATTATTCTAGAACGACACTACATTTACCATCACTTATAAAGTGTGTTCAATAAAATCGAAAATTTTCGAAATACATTCAGACATTTCGCCGCATTAAGAATATAATTGAATTGTCATACTAATGAGAATTGTAAGGAATTTTAGGGTACTTTTATTAAATCTACCGTGATAGATTTCATTAAAAGCGAAAGAAGCTTCCGATAACTCTTTTTCGTGATTACAATTTACTGAATTATTTCTACTTGTATTTTGGATTCAATTTTAGTACGCTGGATACACGCATTTTTTCTGAGGATACCTTTGTACCAGTCGAGGTATATACGTGTGTATAGTATGTCCTTCGAAGTAACGCGATTCAAGAGATAATCAGTATACCTTGTTTAAGATTTTGTAAAGTCTATCATACCATTGTTACACCGATGTGTATAAACATCCATATTTATGTATATACAGACTAAGTCATAACTGTATCTCATAAATAAGGGATAGTTCCACGTGTTGTTAAGACAGACCAGTTTAGTATTTTCCTCGCATCTTTGTAATTAATGCGTAAAACTTGATGGTTAATAGAAAATTATTTATTTTTCAAACTTGATATATAATTTACTTAAACTTAGTATAACCAATACTAGTTAAAACTGTACAGATTAATTAAAATTAAATGTTTAAATTATTTGCACAGAAGTGGTATCATACCACCAGATTAAAATCGTTTTCATTTGCGAAATAATTCAATTGAACTAATGCAAATTAATGTAACCCTTGAATCTAAGAAATCTACAATTCCGAATACCATAAAAATATTACATTTTTTACTAAGTGTTGTTCAATTTAAAGAATAAATAGCTTGTAAATATAAAATGGTCAAGGCAAAGTGTCAAACACATTTTTTAATTAAAACGAACTATTAGGGAAGTCGACCCGTATTAATAAAAAGTGAAGAATTGAACGTGAAATTTTCCGATAGCTAAGAAACATACGATCGCATTTGAAACATTTCATAGATCGAACTTGAGCGGCCGAAGGATTTGGCGGACAAATACGCGCGAAGAATGGGATCGTTAAAAAAGTTTGATTACACGAAAAAAAGTTGCATCGATTGCACAATTCGAGGGGAAAGAAGTTTAATCCTTGTGATTCGGCGCGAACAATCGGTAAGT